TCTCATGGCGGAATGGCAGCAACGACTGTCGCAACCGAGGGCTGGGCTCGCTGCCATCGCAGCGGTAAGTCCCCTCTTTGAGGAGTGGCTTGAGAGACGCTACGGCGTCCTCACCTACCGCCTGACGCAGGTCCTCACCGGACATGGAAGTTTCGGGAGGTACCTGTGTCTGATGGGGCGGGAGGAAACGCCCGGGTGTCATCACTGCGAGGACCGCCCTGAGGACACGGTGGAACACACGGTGGGAGAATGCCCTTCGTGGGCTGAGCACCGCCGTGTCCTCAGGGAAGTGATCGGCGATGGCGACCTCTCGCGTCCGGGCCTAGTGCAGGCCATGATGCGGAGCGAGGGGGATTGGGATGCCGTCTCCTCCTTTTGCGAAGCAGTCATGCTAGCTAAGGAGGAGGCGGGACGCGTGAGGCAGCGAAGCGCTGCCTCCTCGCAACCCAGCCATCGCGAAGGACACACCGGGCGTCGGGGATCGCGGGACGATCTCCGGCCACCGTAAGCGCGGGCCTGCGGACGGCGAGCATGGGTGGCTCCCCGTCCGACCAGAAACAGACCCGAGCGTACGGCGCGTCGCGTTCCGCGCGCGCCTCAAAGAGCCATCAGACCACCACAGATGGGGCCCAATAGGGCCGATGCCGATTCGGAGTCGCGGAGAACCTAACGGGTAACCGGGGCTCCGGCTCGACGTGCAGGAGAAGGAACGGGGTGGTTTTTAGTCAGTAAGAGTCTGACACTCCCTCCCGCCTCACCCAGGCTGGAGCAGTCATTCGATGATTTTCCCCCCTTAAAAAAAAAAAAATACTTACTATACTATACTATACTTATTAAAGTGAGTTTGTTTGTTTGTTTGTTTGTTCCACTTTCACGCCGTAACTACTAAACCGATTGCTTTCAATTTTTGCAGACGTAAAGTTAGAAGTCCGGATTAAATAATAGGGTACTTTTTATCCCGGAAAAATTTGATATTCCCGAGGAAAAACAAAAGTATTGGTATAGATGGCGCTGTGTGTATTGGTATATGTCACATAGGCTACTTTTTATCCTTTTGTGACGCGAGCGAAGCCGCGGGTATAAGCTAGTATCTAAATAAATAAAAACTGGCGTGGCTTCAAACTAGTCGGTTAAACGTTTCACGATAAACAATAGATAATATGCTTATCTATTTATTTCTAGTTTCCAGTGGCAGCCCTACTTACACGGTGCGTAGCATGATAGAAAAAAATCCCCCTCTAACGCTGACTAATTTCAGAGAATTGTAGTCCATTTTATTGGTGACAGACGCAATATGTAGGTACATAGTTTTCAATCTATTCTTTCTATACATATAATAAAATTGTAGAAAAGTTGTTAAAAAGAATACTTGTAGCGTGATCTACAATCGATACTGAAGCCAAAGATATAGTTTTTAGAATTTTTGTCTGTTTATCTGTATGATGATCTCAAAAAATACTGCATGGATTTGCTTCAAATTTTGCATGAATATTACTAACAAGTCGGGTCAATATATTGGCTACATATTATCATGCTATCATCTACAGGTGAGGAGCCCTGTACTGAATCAATTCTGACGACTTTCGTCACCGTAGAATATCCCTTGATAAAGACTTATTCAAAAGCATAAATTCTGCATGAAGTCATTTTTCTACGCGGACGAATAAAAATACAAATAAATAAGTTTCGTTGAATTAATATCCCGCGCAGTTTCCCCCGCTGCTCAGCTCCTATTGATCAAAGCGTGATGTTTTATAGACTATAGCCTGCCTCGGTAAATGGACTATTCAACACAAAAGAGTTAATCATTTCGAACCAGTAACCATAAGATAACTGATGAAATGTCACCACGCATATGCATGTATTGAGGGCCGTCCATAACTTACGTCACACGGTAAGGGGTATGTGACAAGGGGGAGGGAGGGATCCTAAGCTTTGTGATGTCACATTTCAAAAACTATTATAAAACGCGAAATATAATTGTATTAATGTTTTTTATTTTGTTTGATTTGGTATTCAAAATTTTTAAAGTAATTTAATTAAAAAGAAATAAAACTGATTTCGGAACCGCTGTTTTCATTCAATAATTTTTATACATACATAATTCTGCAAAATGTGACGTCACACTAGGGGGGGGGGGGATCTCACAAATGTTACTAGCTGTGACAAGGACGGGGGGAGGGGTAAAAAATATCAAAACCGTGTAACATAATTAATGGATGACCCCTTGGGTATAGTTGGCTAATTCTAGGGACTTGTTCTGATAGAAATAAGTTAAAAAAACTAAACATTAAGTTATGAAGTAATGTGTAATCAATATGTAATAGGAATAGGTTGCGGCATCAAAATAAGATATAGACAAATATAAGTGACCATTACGACAATAATAAAAACAGTATTAATAATATTTGAAAACTTTGTCCAGTCTTGACTAAACGGTTTACCATCGGAGTCACACTCGAGCTCCCATTGAGGAAATACCATATATTTCCCAAAACTTTCGAACACTGAATTGTTAAAAGATATGATATAATTCTGTGGAGCAGACTTAAGGCTACATATTTTACCTAACACACACGAGAGTAGCATTAATAACAACGACAGCACAACCGAACCTCGGTAGTATAAAAGTAGATTTGGGGGATTCATATTCTTCTTCGGTATGTTCTCTGCTAATTCACACAAGAAGTAATGATGACATAGAAGACAGAAGCTAGCCAGACCCAGTCGAGCAGGACGCCGCACATCCATAAAAAGAATCGTCACATTCAAAAATGTCAAAATCATAGCTGGATACAACACGATCGCCGCCAAACCCATCGCTTCCCGCTCCACAACAAACGTCAACTTCAACCGTTTGTTAGATGTGTAGTTACTCTCCTGTTTATAATCTGTCATGGTCCACTCGGCTCCATATTCTGCACCCCACATGCTAAATACACGTGAAGACGAGTTAATTTGTATGTTCAGCGATCTTGAATCCGCGGCCTCGAAGATGAGGCTACACTCTTGCTGGTCATAAGGCCAATGTGTGAGGTTGACGTTACAGGCCGCATCGTGCGTCACCCTGCGCATGCAGGTCACGTCCCCATCACTATAGATGTTGCAGCGAGCGAAGTAGTACCTGTCGTTGAAGTCATCAGGACTTACTGAATTCACCAGAGTTATGGTTGGAGCCCAAATGTTCATTATTGACATTTCTGTTACATCAATCCCGTAGTATTTCTCTGGGTTCCATTGTAGGCGAGGGTCGTTCCAAGACACAGACATCCTCGTTTGAACTGAGAATGTGTCTTCTTCACTGTTGAAGTTGAATTTTTTCATCACGAATTTGACTTTGACTGGAAAACTGGAGCTGTTTTGTGGAGGATGTTCGAATATTTTGTAGTTGCATTTTAGGTCTTTCCGGAGTTGTTTCTCGAATGCCATGCGCTCGGGTATGTTGTTGATGACGCAGTCCTGTGCGAGGGTCGCGTGTAGGGCGGTCAGGAGTATATATGTAAACAGGGCCATGGTTTGTGCAGTACTGCTGGACAATGTTGACAGTTGTTCGGTTCAGTGAGTAACATGATCGGTCTCCGCCCACTGCGATTGCTTTCATTGAGGCCGGCTATGTTTACCAGTGTGTGTTGTATCATGTCAAATGATTGTGTCTAAATGATACCTAGTATTGTTGTAAAAGTGATGGTATTAGTTGATTCACATTATATCGATACTAGTCCTTAAAATAAAACAAGTACATGTACAATAAAACATAAACGATTTATTTTCTTATAAAGAAATAAATGCTACAAAGAGGTACACTACAATGTACCTAAAATCAATTTTCCTTTAAATATTTATTACTATGACACGGTATATTTAATATAACGGGATTAATTAAATATTTTTACATATAATCTAAAGTATGTTTATAAGTATACATAAAATCGTAACTTTATACTATACATATTATTATATAAAGCCCTACAAGTTATTGTGTATGTAGGTACCAGTGGCGTAGCGTGCCTTGGGGGGGGGGGTCTAAAAAATTGTTTAGGGAAGGGTAAACATTTTTCACAGGAGATTTATTTATATAAAATATTTTATAATTTGTGTTAAATTAGAAAATCTTTTCAGGCTAGTCCGTATGCCCTAATTAGCGGACCTTTATTACTTTTATTTTTCTTAATTTTCTGCCAACCTTCGACAGATCCTTTAAGCGGGAAAATATCGTTTATTTTGACTTTTGTAATTACAGTTATAGAATAAAAATTGGGAAGTTTTTATTAATTTTTGCTTAGGCACGTTGGGTGGCCCCTGTAGTCCGGGGCCCCGTATAATTGATACGGCAGATACGGCGCTAGCTACAGCCCTGGTGTATACCTAGATAAGTAAAGGTTGATTCAGTTATAGAGACAATGACTGATACTGAGCCGAACAATGTTACCCAAAAATTTGCCTTCGTTAAAAACATTCCTATAATTTGATATTACAATAGATACTGAATCTATAACACACCCTTATCGAAGGGGTAGGTAGAGGTGCACATTACGGCAATTAATGCCACTGTACAACGTAACACCCACTTTTCACTATTTATGTTATGAGTCCCATGTAATAGGAGGTGAGCCTATTGCCATATATCGGGCACAATTCCAAACTGCCCCGTCGGCCAAGTAGTCGCAAGTCCGACTGCCGGGCAAGCGGTCTAGGGTTCAGTTCCCGGATCAGGCAAAGTATGACTGGGGTTTTAAAAAATACCTCAGTAGTATCACGGAGACTGGAATTATACAACCAATGAAATGACAGACCGCGATAGAACTCACTTCAAGAGTTCGAGTTATCATCTTACAAAATATTCCAGCTGTTTTAGAAACTTAAACAACTAATAATATGTTGTAAGTACATTAGGTACAAATAATTACTTAAACTTATTACGATAAACCTTAAAATTAGCACATGTGTTTAGAACCACCTTTAATATGACATATATAATATGCTTTCCAGACATCGCGATTCAATCTGACCACAAAGATATAAACGTCCATCGCAATGATGGGCAAATATACCACCATGGAAGTTATAAATGGTGGAAACTCAACCAACAATCGAAAGGGTAACAAAAGAAATGTAATCCCACTCACTAAAAATATAGCAGTCGCAATTCGAACACGGCGCCATCTATCGCTAGAATCAGCAACATTATTAAACAAAGCATGTAAAACTTTCAAATAAATCAAAATGTTGACTAGCAAAGGAAGGAAAAGTATTGAATTGAATAAAATAGCCGCGATATCACCAGTTGCACCAATGTGAGGTATAACGACAGTTGCGAATATTATGATCACTATCGGCACTCCCCAAGCGAAGAGAGATATTTTAAGATACTTCTTGGACACTTCAGTATTAAACACTTTCACTAAATCAACATAGAAGATCCAGCACAATATCGTCAACCAATAATACGCACTCAATCTGAAATACAGGAATAACAGTCCACCGGTCATGTTTATCTCAATACTATCACTTTTCTTTATAATATTGATCAAATCTGACATCACAAGGTTGACAATGTTGTTGAATATGATGCTCAGAAATATGTAGTTTCTGAAATGTCGAAACTTCTTTATTAAGATCCACGAGACGACTCCGATGATGAAGGTGATTGAAGAGAGGGCGACCACTGCGTAGAGGATACATCTTTTTGCAGAAACTCCACCGGTACTTGTAGAGTTGGTTCCTGTAGAGTTGAGGATGTGTGTAGTGTTGTCGAACATGGCGGTGTAGCCGCTCGCGCATGTATCGCGCACCCTCCTCCGTATGCTGCGCACGAGTGATCGAGTTTACGGACTATTCTCATTTATGATCTACTTTTATGTTGTGGTTACCTGTTTATATCGTCAATAAATTGTTATTAAATGAACTCTTGTAATGATTAACTATTTATAACATTGTTTATAAAGTTCTACTTGCCTAACTTCACGCATTTTTCCTTATTATTTATGGCTCAAATTAATACATACATAATTAAGTTTATATGTATAAATACAGAGCAGTCCATCTGCTCACCTTGTAGGTTGGGGTCCAACGCTGTGTTTTTTGGTATGTGGTCTTCATTCATTTACTTCAGCTTGCTAATCTCCAGGAAAGACAACGTGTATCAATGGTTCAGATGCTACCCACAAATATAGACATATGTATTAATAAAAACAACTTTCACCCAACCTTGACTCTCACAGAATGTTGGTACAGTCATGGCAAAAATATACTACATTACAGTCATAAAACTCATAATCATTTTATTTAAATTACAACAGGAAGGCACTTCTGGACGTCAAAACAAAATATTTAAATGTTTAAATGCCAGTCTGTCGGTCAGTCCTCTAGTGAAGCTATTTGCTCATTCCAAAGTGTAGATTTGTATGGAGAAGAACGAGCTAGAAACTCGATAGGTTGCTCTTTTTCAATCAGGTTCTTCTCTATAGGAATCTACACCTTGAATTGAGCAAATAGTTTGCTTTACATATAATTTTTGGTTGACGTTCTAAAGTGCCCTTATGGTTTAATTGAAATAAATGATTTTGACTTATGACTTTATTACCTATATGCTCTATTAGTTTCTACATTTATAAAGTATGCTAACTGTTGCCCGCGACTTCGTCGGCGTAGAATATAAATTTTAGAATGTAACGTTTTTTTTGTGTCAATTGTCTAAAATGCAAGTAGCCTATGTTACTCTTTAGTACATAAGCTATGTGCCAATAAAAGTCTTGATAAATCGGTGCAGCCATTCCAGAGCTTAGCCAATACAAACTGACACACAGACACAAAAATTAAAAAAAATATAATTTGGTATGTGTATCGTATGTATATTCATATGCATGTAGTGAATTTAATATTACACACAGACACTCCAATTTAATTTATCTGTATAGATTAAATAAGAAGTGTAACGCGGCAATTCGATTTTGGTTTGTGTCGGACGCACGCGCGCAACTCTAGTGGAAACACGCCACCTCTCTATTCCTCTTCCCCCGCTTCCCCGCCACTGACCGCTGGACGCTTGCGACGCGACAGTAGGGATGGCGATTCTTTCCAAAAAAGATCGATTTTTAAATCGATTCGAATCAAGGTCTAATAAATCGATCCACAAAAAAATCGAGGTGAAAAGAATCGATTTTGCAAAAATCGATCTTTTTCGATTCGCATATTGAGTCTATATTTTTAATACATATTTACGAGTATTTATTTAGAAATAAACTAATGCTTTCAATTCAAACAACTTGCATGAAAGGCGAGTGATCTGACAATGGCATTTAGCGTAGTAAACTTAAATTGAAAGCATGTATGTCGATGATAACAAGAAGGGATTACTTAACTTCAATTCAATTACTTATTACTCTCAAGCACAAAAATGTCAGTATTTATTTTTACGTTGTTTTGTCTTTGTCAGGACAGGCAAAGGGAGCTGACTGACCATAGAGTATAGTAAATATACCAAAAGGTCCTGACTATGACTGTTTTTTTTTTTAAATTACTTTTATCTATTGTTAGAGGGCAAAGGACATTAAGTACACATCCATCTATCGAGTTTTTGAGTAAGTTTTTGAGTGAGTTCATCCATCTGTCGAAACAGAAAAATCGAATCTCGATTTTAGAGGGTGAAATATCGATTCAATGGATCGATTCAGTACACAAGATCGATTTAAAAAATCGATTTTTTTGGTCTAAAAAATCGATTCTTCGATTAATCGATCTCAGATCGCCATCTCTACGCGACAGAACAACGAGTCCCGCTCCCGCGCCGGAGCCGTGACGCACGCGCTCCGTATTTGTGCCGCGAAATATTTGAGTTCATGTTTTGTCCCATTGTAGTATTGTGCAACTTTGTTTATACAGTTATTTAGTTTATTCCAATATACGATTTACAGTCATTCGTGTGTCGAACTTTATTTCACGCCCCTGAGAACCCACCACGATCAATCTTCAAGTATATTAAAGAAGTTATTAATGCGTTACACAGCCCTCTTTTTTGAGGGGGGAAATCGTCCAATAAAAAAGTCATTGGATAATTTTTCTCGCCTTGGATTGGGAATGTCAGACTCTTTACTGTCTAAAAACCACCCCGTTCCTACTCCTGCTCTTCGAGCCGGAGCTCCGGCAACCCGTTAAGCCAACCGCGACTCGACCTAAATAAATGGGTTTTACATTTCGATGCGCTTCGACTCGACTCTGCACTAGTGTAAACTGTGTTTGTAATCGACTGTACTTTTATAGAAGGTAAAACCATGTTTTAAATGTACTTGTTTATTTAATTTATCAATATGACGTCATATGTTCTCACCGCAGTGACGTACTACACTTATTGTTGAGGTATATAGAGTTGCCTGGTTTCACAGCATAATGTCGTACGGTATTTTGCTGTTCCGGGTCTGGGCGTAATACATGTGTATGTGCAAAATGTAGGTTTTGTAAAGCCTACAAGAAATTCTAGTAGGTACGGGGTACACAATAAAGCAATCGGTACAAAAAGAAAAAAAAACATCCTGGTAGGTACAATACCGTTATCACTTTAAAACTGCAAGAATAACAAACAGACCGATTTCGAATCTGATGTAGGTACGTCGCTTGAATTAA